GGATGATGTTTATCCTCTCCTTGAACTTCCCATCTTAGGTGTCTCTCTGAGCCAACCAATCTCATTTTAAAATGTGGGAATAGAAATGGAAACAACAATAAAGAATCTCTGTTGGGGGCTCACCCAGGGCTGCTTAACTTTCGGATGTCTTTGATTTTACTGAAGGTAGGTGAAAATGGCAAGCTCACCAGGTACCACAGGAACAGAAGAAGCAACCCCAATCCGCACAGGACGATGAGGTTTTGGTCAATATCCAAGGACGTTGAGCCAAAGCTCAGACGTGGGTCAATAACGCTATCCAAAAATGAGAGAACATTCCATTTTATGAATTCCATTTTATGAATTCCATTTTCTGAATCGCAAGGCTGCCTGAAGTTACTGAGCACTGAGAGTGCTTAAAAAGCCCCAGGCCCGCATCACAGAGCACTGAAGAGTCACAAAGGGTTTCTGAGTGTGGGGGAGGGGACATGGAGAGGGTGTGTCCACAGCCCCTCCCCCACCCACCAGTCCAGCAGACCCTTCTGCCCCTGCTGGGCCTTCTAGGTCCCTCTGCCCTACACTGCCATCCTATTTTCCAACTCCATCCTTTCATGGTTTCATATATTTACAGTAATGAAATTTTCTGCTTGTCCCATCTGTAACCCAGATACTACCTGGGTCCCCTTTACTGTTTGATAGAAACTTGACTTGGGTCTCACCAACTCCACTGAAATACTCTCTGGCATTTTTGCTTGTACCCACACATTTATACTCAGGATCATATACGTCCTTAAATCCATCTTTCCTATAGAATCTTTTCACTACACAAACCCAGTTATAAAGAACTTAAAAGTTCTTTTATCCAGTCTTCTAAATGTTGAATAGGGAATTTTGCTTTTTGTTGCAGTCAGCTGTTACCATCTTCAGTCAGAGGGGCTGACTCAAATAATTAAAATGAACAATTCATTATTCAACATTCACAAAACTAAAGTTACTATAAAATAAATGTAAATAATTACACTTTCACAAGATCTTGAGGATAAGTCTGTAGCACTTATTTTTCTGAAGTTAGTGAAGCTTAAACTGCATAAAGACTTTTAGGACATGCTACACACACACACACACACACACACACACACACACACACACACACACACTTTGACAAACCAATCTGGTATTTTCAAATCTATGAATAAAGTGTTTTCTCATTTTATTCCAATCTTCCATCTTTCGTTTTGACCCTACTTCTTCTTACTCTACCTAAAATACAGACAGGCCCTGTACTCTACAACAATTTTCTAACATGTGCACAAATCCCTGACCTCGTCAGTTTGGGCGGCCATAACAAAACACCACAGACTGGGTGCTTAAACAACAAACACTTATTTCTCATAGTTCTGGAGGCTGGGAAGTCCGAAATGAAGGCAACAGCAGATTCTGTGTCTGGTGAGACCTACTTCCTGGTTCATAAACAGCTGTCTTCTCCCAGCAACCCTGCAGAAAAAGTGGGTGAGAGAGCTCTGTGAGGTCTCTTCTATAAGAGCACTAATTCCATTCATGAAGGCTCCACTGTTATGACCTAATCACCTCCCAAAGGCCCCATCTCCTAATACTATGATATCATATTGGGCTTAAGGTTTCAATATATGAGTTTGGTGGAACACAAATAGTCCATAACACTACCCAAAGGCTGTGCTAAGTCCTCTGGTGGCAGGGTGGGACCTAGGAATGTCAAAGCCTTAGAGAAGAATCAAGTCTTGAGCAGCCTTACCTGATTATCCTTGTGGGCCCTGTAAATATAATCTTTTCTTAAGTGTGCCTTGCCACAAAGGTTGAGAAGCTCTGCTCTATATAATCATCCCCATAAATGTTTGAAAATCAACTACCTGCCATGCTTTTTTTCAGGCTCCTCTTGTCAGGTTTAAATAATCCCAGTATTTCCCTCCCCTCTTCCTACACCTTCCTTTCTAAACTCTTTATCTTCATGATAGCTGTTCTCTGAACTGTCTCCTAATTTCTCATGTCTTTCTTAAACTGTGATGCCCTTTATTTGACACCCATGGCCTAGCACAGTTACTTGATCTCCTGTGAAAGGGTTAGACAGCCTTCAAACCCACAGAGTCTTCTTTCAATTATGCAGGAACAGGTAACCTACCCTGAGGATAAAATCTGCCAAGAGGCACCACTTCCTCCTGACCTTGATATGCAGCCTCAGCCAAGTTTTCATTTAATAGATATTCACTGCTGGAAACTAGAAGACACAAGTACCTGTAAGTCACAGCCTCTGTCCTTAAGGACCTCATGGTGCAGTTTTAGGGGAAAGCCCTACGCAGGTCAAGAGTTACATAACCGCACAGGAGAGGTCCCCCATGGCATTTGTGAATTGGCAAGTGATCTCTGGAATAGATCAGAGAAGGGACAGATGCTATGGGTGATAACTGCTCAGACATTTTATGCTCCTTAGGAAGGTATCCCTGCATGCCTCTCCAATTTTCTGATACAAATGAACGATTCTTGGAGAAGATGGTGAAAGAAGAGCTTTTCTCTTTTAAAAGGGCACATGTTGGCTAGATATCCTTACATACATGTGTGTGCCTTGCATGTAAAACTTACAAGAAGTTTCAATAAAAAGGCTTTTCCCAAAATGTTAATAAGATTCCTTTTCAGAACGTGGTAGAGCTCCTTCAAAATTTAAAGAAACAAAGGACTAAATGTACAGCACTTTTTTTGGCTTTTTTTTTTCTTTTTGTACCAACCACAAATAAACTCCATTGGTATTTAGCAGAAGTTCACAACACTTATCCTTCCTAGACTAACATCAATTATAAATTATAAATTTATTTGTCTAATTTGTAAAACATTTTGCTTTCAGCGATCTCAGTGGATTTTCACAAACATCCTGTGATGTATACAGTACAGGTATTATTGTGCCCATTTTATCAGTGAATAAAACTGACGCTCAGAGACGGGAAGAAACTTCCTTAGATCGTTCAGCAAGCAAGCAGTAGAGCCCTGACTACTAAATTCCCCACATTCTCAATGCTACTATTTTAAACAATATAAATAAGTGACTTCTTAAAAAGTATGCCCTGGTACTAAAATTAAAGTGGTTATGTGATTGAGAATATCCACTTTATCCATTAAATGATGCCAAATTTGGGAAGTAAAGAAAAGCTATTTTTGGCATCCTATCACCTCTTAGGTACCTTTTCCTTTTCATTCTTAGCACCAGTATCTTGATAAGTTTTCTCTATTGCCCTCTTAAAACCTACTTTCAAGAACTCTATTACATATGACTCTCAGTAACGTATAAATGAATAATAAAAGTTTAAAATGTCATCCCTCCCAGGAACACATTTCACACATTTTACACATATCTAACCCCAAAGCCTTGTAATAAGGCTCTCACCAGAACTTCAGGCAGCCGTCCTGAGGTGGCAGTGGTGGCCTTCAGTAGAGTGAGATCTTCTGCTTTCCCCCCAGTGACATCTTCCCAGTTGACCTTCGTCACCACGCAGAAGTCTGGTCCCAGATTTCAGCGTGCACATGGTTAGATTATCCCCAAGGAAGAGTATTTTCCAAAAGCTCTGCTAGAATAGTATGCTGCCTACTGGAGGAGACTCAGTAGGGATAAGTCGTTCGTCTAGGATTGTCACATGTCCTCAGTGCTCTTGCTCACATCCTGGCCACGGTCCCAAGGGTGAGGCACGTAGAGGGAGCTTTTTGTAGGTTACCAAAAAGCCTGAAGAACAACAGATTCTAGAGCAGAATCCTTTAAAACTGCACTTAACACTGCCGCTTTAAGATGTTCTTCACTCATACGCACACCACACTTTCACCTGAACTCTACCATGTAGTATTTCTAGTAGAAATATCAAGAAAATAAGGCATTGTCTCTGCCCTCAGGCAGATCATAGTTCAGTAAGTAAGGCCTGCAAACAACTATAATAAAGTGATACGAACTATAAAAGAAGTAGGAATAAGAACACAATGAAAATACAGATAAAGGAGCAATTAATTCTTCCACCAGGAGGGAGACGAGAGAGAGGCAGGGAAACTTTCAGACGTGGTGCCCACTGAGATGGGCCTTGTGAGGTCACCCGTCCTCCTCTCCGTCCTTGCCCTGGCCCTCTTCCTGTTCCTCACCCCCTTCCTCCTCATCCTCCTTTGCTTCTTTCTTTAGACTTTAATTTTTAGGGCAGTTTAAGGTTCACAGCAAAACTGAGCAGAAAACGCAGAACTCCCATATGCCATCTGACCCCCCCAACACCCCTCCCCACACACACACAACCTCTCCCACTATCAACATCCAGCACCAGGACTTCCCTGGTGGTGCTGTGGTTTCGCCTGTCAATGCAGGGGACATGGGTTGGATCCCTGGTCTGGGAAGACCCTACATGCCACGGAGCAGCTAAGCCTGTGCACCACAACTACTGAGGCAGTGCTCTAGAGCCTGTGAGCCACAACTACTGAGCCCGCAAGCCACAACTACTGAAGCCCACGTACCTAGAGCCCGTGCTCTGCAACAAGAGAAGCCACTGCAACGAGAAGCCCATGCACCGCAACGAAGGGTAGCCCCCGCTCACTGCAACTAGAGAAAGCCTGCGCACAGCAAAGAAGACCCAACACAGCAGAAAGGAATGGAAAGGAAAGGAAAGAGGGAGGGAGGGAGGGAGGGAGGAAGGAAATTAAAAAAAAAAAATCCAGCACCAGAGTGGGACATTTGTTACAATCATACCTACATTGACACATCATTATCACCCAGAGCCCATAGTTTACATGAGCTTAGACAAGTGTATAGTGGCATGTATCCACCATTGTAGTATCATAGAGAGTAGTTTCACTGCCTTGAAAATCCTCTGTGCTCTGCCTCTTCACCACATCCTCCACCCTAACCCCTGGCAACCACCAATCTTTTTACTGTCTCCAGTGTTTTGCCTTTTCCAGAATGTCATATAGTTGAAATCATACAGTGTGTATGTTGTAGCCTTTTCAGATTGGCTTCTTTCACTTAGTAATACGCATTTAAGGTCCCTGCATGTATTTTCATGGCTTAATAGCTCTTTTTTTTTTTTTTTTTTTTTTTTTTTGCAGTACGCAGGCCTCTCACTGTTGTGGCCTCTCCCGTTGCGGAGCACAGGCTCCGGACGCGCAGGCTCAGC